AAGCTTCCACGTCAAATTTCTAAGCGCAGTAGTAGGAGCATGCTGGTAACGTGTTGTGGCCTATATTTAACTAACAAGGGAAAGGGGGTCGGTGGCACATAGAGAAAATATAGAGAGATGTGTTTGTAGAATTGTGTAGAGGCTGTGTGTTATTCACCCCTACGTAATGCCTTTATTTATAGTAATAAGAGAGAAAAGAAATCCTTCTCCTCCAAGGACTACAAGTCCATATAGGAAAGAATAACTATAATCAAATCTAATCTAGAATTTACATCATCACACTTAAACAAGAAGTTTATAACAATATTCATATTTTTTAAATATATATAAGTATAGTTTTTTTTAGGTGTAAAAAGATATTTATTTATATGATAAATAGTAAATTTACTCAAATATGCCTAATCCATCTAGGTGCCTAGGTCCCACTATGACAGCCCGTCCCGGACTTTTCGTACCATAGGGGTGAAATAACGGTTTTGCCCCTAATGGATAATTGTTGTTTGTGTGGTTGTTTTGGGTTCTTGGTTGGTTGCATCCCAACCACACATCCATCATCATCCTCATCCCCCTCTACTGTTGACCCTATCTGTCCCGAGACCCTCTCTTTCTCTCCCTTTCCTATCTTCTTCTCCATATGTATGGACAACACCAAAATAAGTCGAAATCGTGGTAGATCGAGGAAACAAATTACACACTTGTGCTCGTGAGATTCTTAGGAGTTCAACCATACCCATTTCAGGTAAGGATACCTTCGTTTTCACGTCGAACTCGGGATCCCTGATTTTGATCACTGTTCATGCACATGTTAATTCTTGTGTTTTTGGGAATTTCAAACTTGTAGGAAGCTTGGTGAGGTTCTTAGAAGGCTCGGGGTGGTTCGTTTGAAGGTTTTGGACGCCGAGATCGTGAGTTGCAGGTTTGGCCGGAGTTGGTGGTGTTTTCCCAGCGAGATTCCATGGGTTTTAGTGCTTGAAAGTGGGATGGATTTGTTCCTCTTGTTGTAAGCTTCATTTTGGTACCAATTTTGTGAAATTTGGATGAAAAATGAAGAAGATATCAAGTTTAGAAAATTTCCCGATTTTCCGACGCCGGTGACGGCGCTGGAGTTTGGCCGGAGAAGATGACGGAATATTTCGTCAGTTTGGACGGAATATTCCTAACGGCGTTAACAGAATCAGTTAGATTTAACGAAATATTCCTGACGGCGTTAACTGACGCCGTCAGTGTGCCAGGCACGTGCCTACGCGTGGGCGGCGCGTGGGGGCATGTGCGACGTCGGAAAATTATTTTAAAAATATAGGGATGTTCGTGAGGTTGAGTAGACCACGTTGGTGTATTCATACACCCCATTTGAGCATTGTACGAGAAGTTATTTCGTAATGTTGGTTATGTGCTTTAAAATTAACGTTTTTATAGTTGTTTCGCATATAGGTGAGACCTATCCCGAGGACGAGTGCGGTCACTCGAGGCAAGGGGGTTACGACCCTTCTACATACCAGTGAGTGGGCTTTTGGTTTTCCGTATATACCCATATACTTATGTTTTTCCCAGAAAGTAAAATGAAACGTTTATACGTTTATATGCTATGCATTATGTTTGCCCATTTAATTATGCATTATTAGTTGCATATGTATTTGTGTGTTGGTGCTGCGGACGCACAGGTAGCCAGGTAAGTTATGGTTTATGTTTATGTCCAGTAGTGATTTGAGATGCATAGAGAGCTCATAACCTGCACCCCCGGTGTTAGTGCTCCCGCCCATAGTTGGGCACAGTCCTTCACGTGATGTTCACCTCCCGCACCACACGCTCATCTTGGATCCAAGTTAGGTGCATAGTCCTGTTGTACAGACCACTTTAGGTGGTTCCAACTCGTAGGTGACCCGCGATTATTCGCCCAGTCTTCATGTGATTGTAGCACTTGAGTGTACTTATTATACACCCAGTCCTGTCGTACAGACCACTTTAGGTGGTTCAGACTCGTGTGCAGGTATAGTTAGTGAGTTGGGGATTCGAGAGATTCAGCCGTACAGGTCACGTTAGGTGACTCCGGCTAACAGATTACATGGCATTGTTTGGCATTACTTGAGTACTTGCATTTTATTTCGAGGCATTTGGCATGGCATTTTCCTGAGCATGATTTATATATATGTATATATTCTATTTTTTTTGGAAGTATACAGGTTTTACGGCGAGTGGTTAGAACTTTGTTTATGAAATGATTTTTGAAAAGCTTTGTTTTTGCCCACTCACACTTTCTGTTTTGCGCCCCTCCAGGTTCTAGTTGGCTAGCACTTTTGGTGGCTCCCCAGAGGATTTCCGGGCATATCTGACAAATTATCACCAGTGTAGGACCACCTTTGGGTGTGTTTATTTAGGGTTGTTTCTTCCGAACTGCACTAGGTCTTTTGTGCTTTGAACTTTGTTTCTCACACTTACGCTTGCACATGTATGTTATTACTTTGTGTATAGCTAGGTTTGTATTTATTCGTACTTTTATTATTATTTATTAGCTTCCGCACTGTGCACATGGTTATGTCACTTCCACGTGACGGCCAGCATGCCCTGATCTCGGTCGAGGTGTGTCACCCACCCAGCAGCCCAACTAGCACCTAGCACCTTTTACAACCATGCCGGTGAGAACATATTTTTATTTTTTATTTTTTAACATATTTTTTATTTTTTATAGTTTTAATTTGAAATAACGGCTGGATACAATGCAACACCGACTTTTATCCTGAACTACTTGATCTCTCACTATAACTGAGCAATGCCTTATGACCAAACCTAATCGCATCTAAAATCTAATCCCTTGCTGCTTCAATTACATGTGGGTTTTGTGAACTCAAAAGGTGGCTGTGAAATGAGTGTGGAGAAGGATGGATCGTCTGTAATCCGTTCCACCATGTAGGCACCAATTGCCGGAGTTTAGCTACAGTACATTAGGTGTTTTTAGGTTTTATTGTTTAAAATAGGTGTAAAGGTAAATCTACATAAGGAATTGGGTTTGTGAGTATAATTTAGGTAGTAAACGAGAGTTTAATGAGATATTGGTAGCTTAATTAAACATAAGATGGGTATAGAGAGTAAGTTATGTGTAAAGAGAGATACGATTTCAAACAAAATTTCTCTCTTTTGAATGTGGGTGGGAATTAATTGATTTAAAAAATAAAAAATAAAAAAAAAAAAAAAGGGCGACGCTGGGCCGCTGGAATTATTGGTGAGAGATAATGGGCCGAAGGAATCTGGGTAGAGTAATAAAAAAAAAATTAACAAAAAAAAAAACGAGAATTAGGCCAAATTTGGATCTTTAGTTGGGCCCAATTTGTGAGCTATGGGGTTCATACGGCTACCTCTGCATACGATGACTTGACATATAAGATAGGGAATATGGAAGAAAATGGAGTTTGAGAAGACAGGTGCCACAAATTAAGTTTGAGTGTTTTAGATAATTGAAGAGAAGTTTCGGACCAGAAATAAAAACAGAAGAAAGTTTGAATATTAAAAAAATGTAAGAATTATCCGCACAGAGATAAAGGCCACTATCTCAACTCTCACTGTATCAGTGCTGCTGCTGCTGCAGGCGTCCACCATCAATCGGAATCAATCACCCACATCTGGCCCTTCCCTCCAAAGAGTGCTACGTGTCCACCCAGCAGCAGAGATGAATCAAACGTGGCAGTTATTGAGCACCAAGACAAGGAAAAATTTTTAGGAGTGCCGGGTACACCAAAAATTTTTGGTGTACCCTCACTCATAAAAATTTTATTTTATTTTTTTATTGAAAAATAAGTGAGGTAGGGTCCACCATTATGAGTGAGGGTACACCAAAAATTTTTGGTGTACCCGGCACTCTGAAAAATTCCTCCAAGACAAGTGACGACACAAGAGCAGCCGCCGCAGCAGCCTTCACTCATCACTCATCTCATCTCCATCTCTTCTCCTCAGCTCCCACCATCTCACACGTATTTGTCTTTCCTTTTACTAATTTTAAAAATAACCAAAAATTAAATTAAGAAGCGAATAAATAATTAGTGGAATTTATTGATAAGCGATAAAAAGGGCAGGGATGGAACGGAAGGCCCAAGAAACGAATGGATGAGAGAGAGGTCAGATTCCTCACGGCTCTCATTAATCCACTTGTTTCTACATTCTTCCTATTCATTTTTCCGTATATATTATTCTAATATTAATTATTCCATCAGTGAGAGAGAGAGAGAGAGAGAGAGCGCGCATCTGAAGAGAAGAGGAGAGGAGAGAAGAGAAGAAAACTAGAAAAGAGTTACTTGTGTGTGTACCTGACATCTTGCCGTCCTTGTCGTGATGGTGGTTATGGTGGTGCGGGGTGCTTTTCCTTTTCTTTTGTTTTCCATGATACACCAATAGCATTAGCAACTTCCCTCTCGTCGTCTTCCAAATATCCAAAACACCGTCTTTATCATCTCAATTAACCTAATTCGTTTCCATTTTAGGTGCCTACCAGGCTTGTCTTTCTCATTTTTGTGTCCATCGACAACCATTAAAATTCTACATTGCTAATTAATTTAATCAAACCTCTTTAATTTTAATTTTTCAAACGACACACTATCGTATCTCCTCTGTGGGCACTTGAGGGAGAGCATCTTAATCTAGTGACCATCTAATCACCCCATACATGTGTTAATCTCAAGTGAATCTCGAATCTACAAAATACTACCATCTTTAGAATGTCGACACCAAAGGCAAGACAAATTCGTTCGGCTAAAACATGACTGTTTCTCAAGGAATATCGAATTGTAACCCTAGAAATACTTTTTATTTTTTCCGAGCTAAAACTAGTCAGTTTTATAACAAGAATATACATCTGAGGTGCCATACTCTTTCGACACATTCGCACTTGCCCTCAAATTCCAGTTTCACCATTAATCCTCTACGAATTTAATTAAATATCTCAACATAGTGCCATGACAGATGTTAATATTTCTCTCTAATTTCTTACCAAGCACACCAAACACAATCAAACATTCAACAGAACATCATGTTTTTGTTTTCACATAAAAACACCATCTATATGCACAAAATGTCTTCTGTTACTGTACATGTCATACATACATTCACACACATATATTGCCACTCAAACTCGACCATTATTTTGTTTTTCCAGCAACTAGAAAGGAACCCACAATATTTCTGTACAGGCCAGAGAGGGTAGCAGCTAGAAGCTGTTGTATATATATCCTACGGTTTCTTCTGATTCATTTACAAACTAGAATCCCAGACAGAGACACTGATGGATTACGGGACCATCGACCTGTTCCGTTCCTTCCACCGGAGCTAATAATTAAAAGCCATGCTACTTCTCCATCACCTAATACTGCTATATATGATTCTTCATATGTGCCCCTCTATTTTATCCCACTTTCATATTAAAACTACCTGTATGTCGATGCCGATGATTCACTATATAAACATGTGTATGTATCTATATATTTACCTACTCTAACTTAGTAGTGGGAATGGGAATCTAATCAAAAGGGTGCGCGATGAGGTATACCCTTACGTCTTCTGGCATTGCGGTGATTGTAAAGGGGAGGAGTGGATGGAGAAAGATTGGCAGTGCCCTCCTCATCACCCGAACTTGAGGTAGTCCTCTCCCCCACATGAGTCCCACGCTCGTAATTAAGTGCATTGCCATTCATCAGACGGTTGAACATATGCATTGTCTTCGTTATCTTCTTTGGAGTTGTTGATTCATCTGATTCTGACCCGCCATAGAAACCATCCCTGCTGTGCTTTGTTCTCATCACTGCAAATGTGAGCTCTCGGTCACCGCGCATTATTCCTCCAAGCTTCGAATAGCAAACCAAAATAATTAAGTGGGATTTAAATCAAACAAAAATCATAGAAATTGTTCAACCCCAATGCGTAGCACGGTCAAGTATAACCACAGTGGAGAGAAAAGATAACAGGGAAGAAAGCAGGGGGTGCAAACTAGTCCTTAATCCAATGTGATTCCAAAGTAATTAACCACCACACAATAAAACGAAGAATGCCAAAGTTGAACAATGAAATTATACAAATGAAAGGAAATGAAAGGGATACCTTGCAACCCAAAGAGCAGAACCGAAAGGAGTCGAGGAGGCTTCGGCAGCAAATCTCACAAGTGTTGGTGACTCCCTTTCCGGGCCTTGGCTGCGGCCTCTCATTCAGAAACACAATCTTTGCGCTGTTGATGATGTATGTCTGCACGCACGATATATCTATGTACTTCTGAATCTCATTCACTCTGACCACATCATGGTATGAGGACCGTCTTATCTACGGACATGAAACAAAACCAAAACCACCCACACCACGCATTAGTCCTTGTACACATGAAATCCCAATCAAGTCTTGACACTTAACGGTAATCAACAACAACGAAAAAGGGGAAATTAACAAGAAATTGAAGGCAATGAAGAAGGAAGGAACCTGGACAACGCGATGATCTTTGTGACGGATCAAACAGTAAGGGCAGATAGCATGCCCCACGCAATCCAAGCAGAACATGTTGCATTCGCTCTTGTTTGAATCGCCGTGAATCTCACAATGGACGAAGTAGTGTGCTCTTAGCATTGGTTTTAGCCAAGCCGGACAAATTGCATCGTCTTCTTCGCTCCCAATTCGCCCCATCGGTAGAATTGAACTCACCTGATTCACTCATAATTAGTATCATACAAATCATAATCGACAATTATACAACTGAGCAATATAATTTCATACGAACCAACAAGCCAACAAGCCAATTAGGAATCGAGCAAATTGAGCAATGCGGTGAGATTGTAATTCATTAAATAAATGATGAGATTAGGTATTGAATTAGCACCATGGCTCTCTTGTCTTTATGCTCTTTATCTTCTTCTTCTTCTTGTCTTGCTGATTGTCGATAGCAACTCCGAATCTGTCCAGCTTCTTTTCCTTCTTCCAAAACTAATTAAACCCTTCTCCTTCCACTTCCATTTCCACTTCCCAGAGATTAAGATTGAATCTTTCTGGAAAACACAGATTAAGAAAAGAAAACCTAACAAATTAAACAGAAATAAAACCACACAGAAAAAAAATAAATAAAGAAAAAGAAAAAAAAAAGCTCTGAGATTGTATTGCGACCATTATAACTATATGAAAGTGAAATTAAGGAAAAAAAGTAAACAATTAAGAGAGAATATGTAGAGAGAAGATTACGATAGCGAAATGAGACCTTAGAACTTGAAGGCAGGCAGGCAGGCAGGCAGGCAGGCAGGCAGGCGTTCTGAAATCGGCAGTGGGGAGAGAGAGAGGAGGGAGAGCAAAGCAGGACTAGTACCACTGCAAGTCTTCCAGGACTACTTCTAGGGTAAAACACGAGGTCACCGCTGTGAGATAAGTACGCCAAACTAGACTATATATTTCTATATTTATATTTATATGAAAAAGTGTTATTTGTATTTCAAAAATTTTATTTTACATTTTTTATAAGCTTATTTTTCTTTTTTAAAATAAAAAGTTTGAAATATAGAATGAGTTTTTTGAATTGTTAATAATAATTCTTTTTATATATATGCCTAATTAAAATAGAAATCACCGAAATATGGGAAACAATCCAGTTGCTTTATATATTCTAATTGCTAATCAAATTTATAAGGCAGTCGTTTAAAATCCTGCTTTTATTCTTAAAATAAACAATATGAAAAAAAGAAGGAAAGTTAAAACTGAAAAGGTGGAGGAAGAGGAGGAGCTGGACAGTGGAAAGGAAACGTGCCCACATTTCCTTACAGACGAATGTATCGACGTTCCATGGACTTCAAAGCATACATCCATCACAACTTATTCCTCCTTTACTACCCGCCCGATCACTCCACCTGTTTGTGCCTTGACCGTTCGATTGATTGGCTATGGGTGGGCCACTTGTTTAAATTTTGGCAAAGTGGGCCCTCTTTTGTAATTTACAGATGTTTGATTTTAGTGCCGCCACAAGTGCATGGTGTTCGGCTTAGAGTGTGTATCCGGCCCGGTCCAAACTCCAAATCTTCTCCTGTGGTAGTCAAAGCACAATGGAAATTTTTAGTTTATTAGAAACATGGTCATTAGATATGAGACGGAAAAAGTGGTTCACATAGTCTATTTTAGAGCTCCAATTAGGGCTTTATAAAATAATCTCTTCCAATGAGGGGCTATTTGTGCTTCCTAAAATACCAAATTGTGTTTCCTACACACTCCAAGCATGAGCCCAAACTAAAAAATTTAGGATTTGTTACAAATTTTATAATAAAATGTGAATGTGTAAATCCTAGATAGATTTGGTTACTAGTTATTCTTTTCCTATATGATTGTATTTACTTGGTGGACAAGTAATTCCTCTCCTCTTTACTACTATAAATAAAGGCATTGTGTAGGGGGAATAACAACATCTCATATACATACAGAAATCCCTCAGTTTCTCCACACTCTCTCTCTTTACCGCACCCCCTATTCCCTTGTCAATAAATAGGCCACAACACTTTATCTACACGTTTCTTTGCTGCCCTAAGGAATTTGACATGAAATTTAGGATTCTCATTTTTTCTTTGTTTTATTTAACAAAGTAAATATACAAATGAACGGTTGGAAGCCAAAGTCATAGAAAAGAAAAGACTAATGAGGTAATCGCCAAATACCCGTCCCTTTAGTACCATCTGGGTCTAGGGACATCGTTTGTGATTGTGAAACACGACCAACCAATAATCTTTCTTTGCAAACCTTGGGCGTTTTTAAGGTGCGGACGTTAGAAATGGACCTTGCATGCCGACGGGAATCAGATGGTCATGATTTGCTCACGGTAAAACAGGGTTGTTGTGTCCTAGTGTAATTAAAAAAATTTAATTTTTTTTATAGAGTATCTTTTGTTAGAGAGAAAGGGGGAGGAGGGCTGAGGGTTACTTCGCCGTTCAAGAGGGAAAAAGATGTAGAGAAAGGGAGCTGGGTTGAGAATTCTGTTTGAGGTGGATTGAAGTTACATTGCGATTGTGACCCGGTAATCTTATACCTTCATTTTTTTTTCAATGGGTATGTTTTTGTCGCCAAGAGAGGGAGAGATTACGGTTTTCTTCGCCAAGAATGAGAGGCAGGACATAGGAGGTGGTGAAAAGGGTGAGCGCTTGATTTCATGTGGATTGAAATTGTGCTTGGATTGGAGTTGGCAAGGGTGGCTCATTCAGAACCATTGAAGAAATCAAGAACCTATATTATAATCCATTTCCATTGCATTTTGGTTTTTATAATTATGGGATTTGAATCTATAATAATGGTGGGTGGTTACTAGTGGATTTGGTTAAAATCATGAAATTGGATTTTGGATATATAGGTGCAAAACTTGTGTTGGGTTGTGATACGTTGTGTAGATTTGTAGCATGTACATTGAAGTTTAATTCAATGGGGATGAGTTAGAAATAGAAGAAATTGTGGTGGAAAGATATGATTGAATCTTGTGCAGAGATGGTTGAATTAGTTTCTTCCAATGGTAGACGACGAGTTGAAACCGAAATTGAGAATGGAGTTTGATTCATTGGATGAAGGGTATATTTTTTACAACAATTATGCACTTGCAACAAAGTTTGGGATTCAGGAGCATGGTAGTAAAAAGTCCAGTGTTAATTGTTAAGTAAGGAAATAATTTGTTTGTTTCATACAGGTCACACTAGGTCACTCCGACTCATGTGCTAGCCTAGATTGATGAGCTACAGGTCCAGTCATACAAGTCACGTTAGGTGACTCCGACTGGCATACTATTTTATATTGGTTTCACACCTGGCTTACATTTATTATTGCTGAGATATGATGACATGGCATACTTCATTTTTCGCTGCTCTTGTGCATTGGTTTTCATACCTATGTAGTAGTATTTTCTGAAAACTATACAGGTTTTATGGAGAGGGGTTATTATGTTCATAAATATAAATACGTTTTCAAACGCTTTGTTTTTGCCCACTCACCCTTCTGTTTTGCGCCTCTCCAAGTTCTAGGTAGTTGTTCATCTTTGGTGGCTCACGAGAACTACTTGGCGGTTCAAACGTTCTACTAAATAAAGTAGGGATCTTCTCCCTGTTTGTATAATTAGTACTTAGTTAGTTCGACTGCACTTTCGTTTCACTTATGCTCTGATATGCGTGTATCTTATACTTGATCACTTTCACACACTTACATATTATCTCTAGTTAAATAAGTTAGTTTTAGTTTTTATTTATTCGCCTTTTTCTTATTATTATCACTTCTGTTGCGCACTTAACTACGTCACCCTCACATGACGGCCAGCACGTTTTGACTCCGATAGGGGTGTGTCATATGGTTCAACAACTACAATCCAAAAAAATGAAGAAAAACTTTTATTTTCCACTTTTATAAATAATGCTTATTTTCATTTCGAAAACAGTAGTTTTAACTTTAGTTGAACAAATTTTTTGAGTTTGTGTCATGTCATCTGAGTAAAATAATACAACCATCTATCATTTAGAACAAGCTAAATAATAATATAGCATCCAAAATAAATGAAGAAAAACTTTTATTTTTCAGTTTTATAAACGGTGCTTATTTAATTTCGAAAAGTTATTTGAATTTTATAAAATATGGGAGAGTTAAAAGGATGGACTCACAAGTCTCATCCAACTTTGACCAAAGAGAGTGAGAAAGAAAAAGATAAAAGAATAGGTGGATAAAAAACGAAAGCTTTCCAAACCACATTTTTGCTTTATCAATGGTTAGGTTGCTCTCTTTCTTTTGCTCTCTGATCTCAGTATGTTATCAAATATTTACAAGGAATTAAAAGCAAAAGCAAAGCAATGCAATGCAAGAGGAAGAGGGTGTGTTTCAAAGTGAACAGGATATATCTTATATAAATAGCAGATATACCGTACTCTGTTAGAATTAAGATTACAATGATATGACAGCGGAAGGAAATTAAGAGACCTACATTCAAAACAATCCCTTCATTGCCAAAACTCTTCTTCTTTCATATTTCTTTTTCAGTTAGAGTGCTAAACTCTTCAGCGGGTAGAAGAGTTTCATTGTATTTTTCAAATTGAGGCCCAATGTATGTAGTGAGCCTCAAATATTGAGGCCCAATCTTTGTCATCAAGCACTGCTATTAACCACATGGTTGTGGATTCGATTCCTGCAGACAACACCAATGTTGATGCACAACATCAGATTGACTTTGGAACAACGTAAGTGTCTAGGTGTGATCTTCGCAAGGTTGCTTCTGTCACTTAGTGTAGCTAATATGCCAAGAGATCAAGATATGGAAGCAAACAGAAGATGCACGTGGTTCACTCTAAATTGGATTAAGCAAAATAACAACATTATAGATTAATTGTAGAATAATGGTCTATTTTTACAGTTGAAGAGAGTCGCACACTTTCTTCTGCAATCGATGTGGGACTCTAGAAGCTTTATTCTGATGTTGACACTTGTTGTATTGTTATTGGCCTCCTGGTTGGTGAGAAACTCTTGTGCTTTGGCTAAGGTGCCTTAAACGAATCCTTCAGTGGATTCTAAAGGTATGAAGTTTGTTGGAGTAGTTTTTGACCCGCCATGGAGTGAAACCTGCACAGGTCAAAGACAAAGAAACACAGTGGGTCCAAGCCCTGTGGAAGGTTGTCACGCCCCGATCCTGACATATGTCTAGGATCGACACATGACGTCACCAAATACCCGTATCTCAACATACCCCACCTCCGGGATATGGCAAATCACAACTCGAGAATCAAATCGCATAGTAATTTTTCGTATACTTTATGGCTGCATCTAACCTCCTCGTTAGACTGCCTACGCAACCTCATTAGGGATCAAGTCATTCGTAGTTCTCATTCACTAATTTAGACATATATTCTAGTGCGTTCTAATAGGAATACATAGCATCTGTAATCAATTATTAGAACTTGACATGCATGACATTACCAAGTTCAGGGCTACAAAACAAACCAACATGCCGTTCAAGATTCTCATTCTATCCATCATATAAATTCCATGTTTTCAGCACGATACTTCCATCCACAGTATGTAACATATCAAATAACCAACGAAGCACATATTATTCTCAAGCCACTTTGATCAACTAAAATAATCAGAATAATAACGACCATAACCAAGGTCATTCCGCAATATCGTCAATCAATCAATTCATGAATCAAAGATACATGATCTTAGCATTTAATTATGTTAATCAATGAATGCAGTAACATATCATTTCACAAATTTAACCACAGAACTCTATATATTCACAAGGTCTATTGTGGGTAATTCTCATTCACTCGAATCTAGGGTTCTAGACTAACCTTATAGGAATGAGCAAGAGCAAGGATTCCGGACCACTCAACGGAATCGAATGACACAAGGTTCCGGAGCACTCAACGGAACC